CTTAGTGAGAAAGGTTCTGAGACTTTTCTCAGCTGTGCTGATTTTCTGCTTGCAGGGAGTTTTTAACATAGGGAAGCATTAGAGTGATATTCCCCACCTTTGTCTGAAGTGGTACAGTCCACAACTCCACCTTGGCCTTTACCACTGCATACTACAGATCAGGCCTTAGGCCAAATATAAATGCGATGTTGGTGAGGCAAAGGCCATTTTGCCCATGAGACTTTGTGCTCAGATAGTGTCTGACTAACTGTTACGTTTTCCTTCCACCTTCCCCAGGTCCTGGTGATCAGATGAACACAGCAACTTCCATGCTTTGAATTCAGGTGTGGGGAAGCCAATTCAGATCGGGACTATGGAGTGGAGAAAAAGGTCCCCCGAGTCACATTCCTGAGCGGAAGTAGCCCTGGAAAGCTGCTATTTGCCCCACTGGGAAAACTTAACATGTGCTGATAGGCTGCAAGCGTACAGCAGGTTAAGTTTTCTTGTCAGGAGAAACAGTGGCTGCCCAGGGACATTTCAGGTTGGGGAAACGATATGGGTAGAAGACTTAAGCCCTCTCTCCCCACATGCTGTAGTCCCGATCCAAACAGGGCCCTGCAAACCTGGATATTCAGTTCTGAGCATGGAACTAGCGGTGGACATCTGATTGTCAAGACCCAGGGAAAGTGAAAGATAAAGAAACATGTAATTAGGCCTTCATGTGAACTAGGCTGCCCCCTGTATACAAAAGTAATGTGTCCATAACCTAAGTGTGTGTTCTGTTGGCATACTAGAAGAAGAGATTGGATTTAGACCCCGCCAGGGCTTTTTTTGTAGAAAAAGCCCAGCAGGAACTCATTAGCATAATAGGCCACACCCCTGACAGCACAGCTCATTAGCATATTAGGCCGCACCCCCATGTTACCAGAAGTGTGGTCATCCAGCCACACGTACCTTTTGCTTCTTATTCTGTTTACCTTGTTTGTTGTCAAAACCCAGAGCTTTTTTTGTAGCAGGAACTTCTTTGCATGTTAGGCCACACCCCCCTAATGTAGCCAATCCTAATGAGTTTCGGCTCTTGGGCGTGGCCTATTATGCTAACGAGTTCCTGCTGGGCGTGGCCAACTCAGGAGCGAGCCGGAACTCCGTTCCTGTGCGTTCCTGCCCCAAAATAGCCCTGGACCCCACCCTTCACTACCCAAGGAATTCTCAGAGCGGCTTACAAACTCCTTTCCCTTCCCCTCCCCACAACAGACATCCTGTGAGGTAGGTGGGACTGAGAGAGCTCTGGCAGAAACTGCTCTTTTGTCAAGAACAGCTCTTACCAGAACTACGGCTTGCCCAAGGTCATCCAGCCAAGTGCAAGTGGAGGAGTGCGGAATCAAACCCGGTTCTCCCAGATTAAAGTCCGCGCACTTAACTACAACACCAAACTGGCTCCACTAATTAAACACATGTAGCTGGCTTTTTACACATTTACTATAGGACACAGGCTGTGCGCAAGGTTACACGAGGAAGCTCTTCTTCCCAGTCACATTTAAAGAGGCATCAGCCAAGTTGCCCAAATATATCAAGTTATGCTCTTTCCTTTCCACCTACACATGACTTATCTCTGTGCGTATCTCAGTGCCTATCCTGATAATCAGTGGTGAAGACAAATATTAGTATGGTACGACCATAATCTCTTACCATTCACTACAGGATCAGATCACACTACCCAATGTTGTGTATTCAAAGCTGCCTTGAATGCTTGATATGTTGTGAAACATCTAATTGAAATGCTATGTAAAGCTTCATCCTGGGCTAGGATCCAAATGCATCCAATCGTGTTACTAGCCCAGGAAGCACCTAACCAATCACCTTCGAGCAAGCTCCCTGAACGGGAACATCCGTGATTGATCCTTATGTGAACAACCTTATTGGTTGGTATTTGTACAGTGGGTGTGGCTACATTAGCCGGGAATGTTTAAAAGCAGGACAGCTGCAATGTAAAAGCTGTTCTGGCTATCAGATGTTGATCCGTGTTGGAGTTGTGTTCGAGTTGAAGAATAAAGTTGTGTTCTTGCTGAATCACTCTCCGACTGCTTTGTTAAGCGAGCGACTTAACAGCTTAGAGATAAATTACACAAAGACTAAAATAATGGCTTTTGCCAACAAGCCTAGGATGTTTAACTGGGTTATTGACTCTCGTCCCATTGAGCAAGTTCGTTGCTATAGATATCTTGGAGTTGTATTTCAGTCGTCTGGTCATATGAAAGGTCATGTTGACTACCTGTCAGCCAATGCGAAGAAAAGTGCTGGAGCTATTCAAAAGTTCTTCTGGTCCAAAGGAGGTCATAACTTAGAAGCTGCCATTAAGTTATTTACTATAAAGGTATTACCCCAATTATTATATGGAGCTCCTTTGTCCCTCCTGACAAACTTGACCTTACTTGAAAGAACGCAATCGAAATTTTTAGGAGCTATTTTTCAAGTTCCAACAAGTGTTTCAAATGCTGCAATCCGCTTAGAGGCTAGCCTGGTTATGGTGGAG